CAGAGAGGTTGTGGAGTCTCCTTCTCTGGAGATCTTCCAAACCCACCTAGATGCCACCCTGTGCCACGTGCTCTGGGTGTCCCTGCTTGAGCAGGGGGATTGGACTAGATGATCTCTAAGAGGCCCCTTCCAGCCTCAACGATTCTGTGATTCTGTAAGGCAAATCTAAGGAGGAAGTCGAGTGACTGAGACAAACATCTTGGCAATTTCACTTTAGGACTTGCTGTGCTCAGGGTTGACCTAGGACATAAATACTGTGGATTCTTGTGTGCCAGCTTCCACAGACAGGAGGTTCTGCCAGAGTGTCAGTGTGAGCAATAAAGTACATTTCCAGGTCTCCTGGATATGAAGCAAAGCTTGGCTCTGGAACTTATTGTTACTAAGGCCATAATGTTTGCCTGAGCTTGCAAAGAACGTGAAACAAGGGCTCAGGGAGTTGTTCTGCTTCCTCCTCCCCTCCAAAATGAGAAATCTCATATGATGACATGCCAGGAGGAAGTGATAGTTCTGTATCCTATGAGACTGAGCTTTGATTTAGTAGAACTCAAATGTTTCTGTTAACAAATATCTGAAACACTAATGAAAAAAAATAAAAATGCAAGAGCAGAACTCTTTATAATAAAGGGAATCAGATTGTATTTTTATACCCTCAAAGTTAAAAATACGCATTTCAAAATATTTACAATGACTGCATACGAAATAACCTTTGTTAATGAAACAGCAACATACAGTACTAGAATATACCCACCAAATTGACAGTCTATATAGGAGGTATAGGAGGAGAATGTAACAGAAAGAGAGAGGGAAAGAGAGGGAGAGAGAGAATAGCATTCATACACAATCTGCACCCATGCTTTTGATGTTCTCTGCCTTTTAGTTATGGATGGAGTCACAGCAAGTTTTGACCTCTTGTCCCTTATAAATTCCATTTGCAACTGAGATTCTTCAGAGTGGCAGAAACATGTGGATTGCAGGAATAGTAGGGCTTAACTTTCCCATGCACTCTTTCACATGGGGATCTTGTCTTACAGAGTGGACATAAAAATCTCCCAGCAACCCTGGGAGGTAGGTAGAGCTTTACGGAAAAATCTGGCAGATGTAAAAGCACCAGGTTAAGTGACTGGCCTAAGGTCATGCACCAAGGGACAGAATTCAGGTTCTGCCTCATCTCTCCAAGACTCTCAATATGGAATAAGTTTTCTCTTAACCAGTAGCATCTGCCTTTGAGATGAGCTGCCTCACAAGGTGGGACTATCAGTTAATGCTATGTCCTGGTTGTGAAAAAAATACTACCTACCTAAGACGTGCAATACAGCAGTGCTACATTGCACATGCTGGCATGTGATAGAGCTAATCAGGAGGATTTAGTGCAGACATACAGCCAAATGACTCCCTCCACATGCATCATTGAGCAAGTGTATCCTCTGTAATCAGGAACCCTTGCACACCTTCCTTTTGTCTCTGTATCCCACTCTCTCTCTCCCTCTGTCTTTTCCATGCCTCTAAGTTTGTTCATCCTACCTATATCTGATTCAACCATGAGAATGTCAAATAGAAAACAGAACAGCAAAAATTTTCTGCCTTATTTCCAATATTTTTAACATCAGTTTCAGCTGATTTCTTTTGGGCTGTTTCTCAATTTAATGCCTTTAACTTTCATATATATGCATATATATATATGTATATATTTTAAAAAAATGTAACAAAAGGCCCATCCCATTTTTTTCAATGGACAAGAAAAGGGTTGTAAGCCTTGCTGCCCAACCCACAAGGCACACCAAGAGATAAGTGGGAAGGGCACTAAGAAGGGAAAAACATGGAGCCCTCATTTTCGTGGTACCCTTCAGTCATCATTGCTGAGCTTGACAGTTTGTAAAGGTACGATGTTTGCAGAAAAGCAGAACAGCTGTCTGGGTCACTTGCAGATTTCTGGCCCAACAGCCCCAGGAATAAGTGATCAATCACAGCTGCTTCTCCCTCAGGTTGGTGAATATGTTTCTGAGCGGATTTTTGGTCTGTTAGTTATTTTTCTGTGGTGGTGGCAGTGGTTGTGATGGTGGCTGTTTCCGGTTTTTCGATAGGCCCAGCAACTCTCTCAGCAGAGCAATTATTCCCTGTCCCCTGTAGCCAACCCTCTCCCCTGCACTCCCATCAGCCTTATTTTTTCCTAAGAACAAGGTAGAGTATGCTAATGATGAAACTGAAGCAAAAGCAGATCCAGGCCAATATGAAGCAGTAGCCGTGGTGAACTTCTTGGAACCCACTCATCTTTGCGAACCGAGCTGTGTAAATGGAGGCTCCAATCAGAATGCACAGCCCTGCAGGAAAGAAGGCAGGAAAGAAAAAAAGGGTTGGCAAACACACAGAAACCAGCATTGCTGCAGGACATAAGAAATACTGGCACCCCTTGAGAGCATAATGCGTATATTGTGCCACCTGAGAGATGGTCTGCTGCCCATTAGTTTTATTTTTGGAGGATTTCTCTTGGAGACATGAAGACAGAAGACACTTGGGACTCGTTTAGTGAATGCCATGGGGAATAAACCTTTGTTATGAGGGAACCAATAACACTGTCTGCAGACATTTTGATGCCATGTGTTGAATGCTATGGGGTTTTATAAAGAAGATCTGAAAATATTTTCATTATTTGAATTAAATAAGAAAGATCTCTTTCCAATTCCTCAATGCTCTATCAAAAAAATTGGGCCCCTAGAAGCTTTCAGCTGACTGATGACCTCCCCTTCATAGCCATGTGTAGCTGACACGTGCCACTACTTGTGCTCACAGGGGCATTGGGAGGCATGCAGAGCCATCACAAGGGGTCCATACTTACAGCAAACCAGCATGACGGCTCCAGTGATGTAGAATCGTTTGCCTTTCTCTAGGGTGAACAGCTGGACAACGAATATGACAAGTGCGATGACAGAGAAGATGATTGAGAGGATCATAAAAGCTTGTACTGCCTTGAGGGATGCTATGAACATAGAAAGAACAGAGTAGAGAGGGTCAGGCCTCAACGTTGGCATTGCATACCCATGTCCTGCAAATCATCACCACCGTGAAAATGAAAATGTAGCCTACCATCATCACTGGAGGACACCACCAGTTGCCTGCAGCTCCTGTTACACAGTAGCCACAGTCCTGAAGAGGCTTTTACTGTGTCAGAATAACCCACCATCCAGACCTGAAAGAGGATAAAACTGTTATGCCATGGCAGGGGGCTTCTTTGATCTGCTGGCCAGGATCTCCCTGGCCTCCTGTCAGATCAACCCACACGGGGAACAGCGGCGGCTGAAGTGCCGCAAGAGGGACAGCAGAAAAATCAGGATGTGTCAACGACAGACGAACATCCGAAGTGGGCGGGAGATGACGGAAGGTTTGGAAAGACGAGCAGTGTTTCATTTGCCCAGACAAAACAGAGAGGAAATCTGTTCCCGTAATACAGTGAACATTGCTCCAACTATCCTCTCCCCTTCCTGTGGTGAGACGGGCAGCAGGACTCAGGGGAAGAGGCAAGCAATGAACGCAGGGCAGGAGGGCACGCCAGCGCCCTCGTCTGTGGCGAGGAGGGGAGGGCCCAGAGACAACTGGCCGAGGGGCACAGAGCCGGTCCCCGGCCACCTTCCCTGCAGCCAGGGGGCCCTCGTTGCCGCCAGGGGTCCCCCTCCGCCCGGGCACGGCGGCGCGGCCGGAATGGCGCCCGCGCCGGGCTCCCCCGGCCGCCCCGGGGACCCCGGGCAGGGCAGCCACGCGGGTGGCGCCCCCAAGGTGGTGCCAGGGGTGGCCAGGGGGTGCTGCTGGTGCACGGGACGAGCACTCGTGCCCCCGGTCCTTTGGGCCTCTTGAGTAGCGGCCGTTCCTCACTGTCCCCTCAGTTTTGGCTGCGAGGTTCTCGTATGTCACGGGAAGGTGTAATGTTAAGAGCTGTATTCGTGGCTGCCTGAACAGCTCCTGCAAGCGAACTATTATCACAAAAGCAGACAGGCATGGGAAACCATATAATTATATAACAGACTGCCAGATGGAGTGATAAATATCAGCTCCAAACTATCATGTGCTAATCTTGTGTGCTCATCTCTGTCTGGAGCAAGGAGCGCTCAGGTGGACTCTTGAGGCTGAAGCCCTAAACCAAATCGTCTGAGCAGAGGCTCCTGTGCTGTCAGGGAGGCAGCCTGGATTCGGTTGGTACAGCTGAGTCCTCTTGAATTCTGCACCTCTCTGCTCTGTGAGCATGCCTTTGACTCACTACTTTTTATTTAATCTTTGTCTGTTCCTAGGCTGTAGCTAGGATCATCTAACAGCAGGTCTGTCTGCCCATGGTAGAAAGGGCTATTGCTATGGAAAACTACCACAGCTCGCTGTCTCATTCAAGGTAGCCACTACTTACATTGGCAATGGTGGAGACGAAGAGCATGATGACAGTGGCAATGTGGACCACGAAGATACCAGCCAGTAGCACCAACATCTTGGGTCCTTCCTTGGTGGTGTCACAGAGGCAGGGAGTTCTGGAGGGGAAGAAGGAAAGACAGAGAAGGTAAGGGCTGCACTGAAGAATAATATTACTGTAAGCTTTATTTACATGAAAGCCTTTGTCAAAATATGTGGGAGAATTGCTCAAATGGTTAAAAAAAGCGTGGAGGTAAAGGAACCAGTCTGGGATGAGATGTAGAACAGGGGTAGTTAGCTTGGGGACATTTTAAAAATAGCCTGAGTATATACATAGGTTGCTTAAATTGGTGTGTGGTTATGTAAAGAGAAAATGACATACTCCAGGCCTACCCTCCAGGAAACTGAGTTGTTTGCCCACAGGATTCACAGGGGTCAGGCAAGATTCTCTCCCTCTATTCTCCTTTTCCTTTCTCCAGCTGGTCTGGGACATTAGTGGGGTGGTGGAGTTAAGGAATGCTTGTTTCATGGGTAAATCAGACACTGTATAGTGATGGAGAGCGGACACAGTGGCCTGCTCCGTTACGTGACGAAGAGAATAACCAGAACAGAAAAGCCACTGAGGTGTTCTGAGGTAGAGGAAGATGATTGATTGCTAAGATTTGTAATGGAAACTGCCTCTGCTTCCCTTTTAAAGCTCGAGGCAGTCAGATCACTTTAATGCTGCAATAAGATTCTCTTGTAATGCAAATTCTTTTCTCTTTCTTCTTGTATCTTTTTTATTCTTTTCTCTCTCTCTCTTTTTTTACCTCTGTGCCTTGCATGCTTTTACTTTTTGTAAGATTCCCAATCGTTGATGAGCATGTGATTGCAAAGACAAGGCATATGAGGGGAGGGGAATGTATTTTGCATAGCCCTTACAACACTGTTCATAAAGGTCGTTGGGCTCTCCTTCTCTTCCTTGAAACTATGAACTAAAAGGAACAAAGTCTGAACTGTGAGAGTGAGTGCAAGCACTTCAAGCAAAGTGAGAGAAACTTTTTTTTTTTCCCTCCTTCCAGGCATTTACAAGTGTCTGGGCAATGGAATCACAGAAATAAGACAGAAAAAAAATCTAGGTCCGCTGTGCGGCCAGTGAAAGGACTGCTTCCTAGATAGTTGACAATGCTGCTTTCCCCTCTCTTTTCCTCTAATTTCAGTAGAACTGAAGAGCAGTATCAAATGTTTGATTAATGTTGGCTGTCAAGTTATTTTGGTCTAGGTGACTCAGATGAAGTTTGATGCTGTCACCTTTTGTACAGGGTGTGGTTACATTGTCATGGGACAGCACAAATACATTTTATGATGTCTTTCATGCAGCCTGTGACAGAAAGCTTTGTGAAGTTCCATAAATGGTTTTCCTCTTACTCACTGACTCCACCTTCTCCACTCCCTTTCTTTCCTCTCATTGTGGCCATGTATGGGGGTATATTCTTGTAAAGTGCTGCAGCTATTCTTTTCCCCACTCTGGATACTTACTTCCCAAACATCAGGGGTTAGGCAGGCTTCTCTGTCAGTGGTTCTTTGTCTAAATTCATATTAGCTAATAAGCAAGTGAAATTCCTAGAGCTCTGGAGGCCAGAGAAACAGTTTTGTTAGGTCGCTTCCTCCCCTGCCAAGCAAGAATATTCTTTAAAACACAGATTGGACTTGGTGTTTTATCCCATCTCTTCAGCAAGAACTTGGCAAACATAAGGTTTCCTTTGCTTGGAAAATCTCTCTAGAGCTGGGTAGCCCTGGCTTGCTGAAGATGGGCCTGGCTTTCTTGTCTGCTTTGGTATGTCCTAGTAAATGCTTCATAATCTAGGGCTTGATTTTCCTAACTGGCTAAAGACTGATGGCATCTTCTCTGGTCACAGGAACTGGAGCACGTGCCTCCCTCAGTGATGATCTGGAAGGAAGTGCAGACTTTTTAGAAGATCTTCTCTGACTGTAGTGAGAGCCATTTGGGTGTTCATCAGTGCTGAAAGACAGGCTCTCAGAGCTATGCCGAGACTGCCTCCTAAACACATCTGACAAAAGCATCGACCTCCTTCTTTCCCCTGATTACAAAAGCAACCAGAATTTGAAAATCCTGGATGGCATCTGATCTAGATACCTGCACTGTGCCACTGTACCTTAAATTGAGAAGCTGTTGCTGTTACCATGACTAAATTATGCATGAATAGCAGGTTCCTTGAACAGATTCTGACTCAATTCCTCCCATCCCTTTAACTACCAGTCATCTTTGTTTCAGATTACTTTGTCTCTTACACGAGCTGTAAGGATTACTATTGCTGGTATAGTATATTGGTAGGTATTGTGGCAGAATTGACTGCCTGTGCCTTTGCACACAGTAGCTGAACTTTCATCCTTTCCTGGATGGAAAATTTTTTCCAGATCTCTTTAAAAGAGAATTCTAGCAGGCTTTTTGCCTATTATTTTTGACCTTCAAAAAAGCCCTGCACTTGAAAGACTAACAGCCTACTTCCGTGACGCCATAAAGAATTAGAACAGTCACTTTTAAATGCATCTTCTGTTTGCCTTCAGAAAAGAAAATAAGGGAAAATGTTACCTTTCAATGTAAAGAATAAAAGAACTTTGACCAGCACAGTGTAAAAAAAAAAAAAAAAAGCACTTTTTTTTTCCCTTGCTTTTTCTGTCCAGTTCTTGCACTGTTTGAAAGCGCTGTTAGTTCAGGTGCTTTCAGTGTACCCACTTCCTGAGAACGTCAGCACCTCTCCCTAAATACACATGATATCAAATGCAAACTCCCCAGGGAATACAGATTTGCAGCTTAGTTTGAGTTCTTTGTGAGTTAAAGCACAGGCCTCCCTGTCTTTTCATTCACTTTCCCATTCCTTCATCTCTCCTTGCTTTTTAAATAAAATAGTGGAGAACAATTCTGATGAAGCAGTGGGTGAAAGGCATTGAAAAAAAAGAGTCATTGCTATCTCTGCACGGACTTCTCCTCCTGTTAAACAGAAGCTGGCAGAGTTGTGGTGACTGACAGGATATTCTTTCCATTTGTTAACTGTGAGACATCTTTCTCCGCTACAGGGTGGGGTCACATTGCTGAAGCAACAGGACACAATTGCATGCAAATGCCTCTTCTTCCATTGCCCTACCTAACTGTAGCTGGATTTGGAGATCCTCAGGCTCTTCTTGGACTATGAGTCAGTCTTAGCCTTCCTGGAGCTGCCAGTTTTTTCCACTGACTCACCCTAAAGCTCTGAAAACTACAATTATTTAACCCTGCAAGCGTTCAGGACAATCTGTCCTTTCTAGAGCTGCTTCTCAAGAACCAGTCAAGCAACTCGGCAATGAATCCTGCAGTGAGCCTCCTGATACATCTTTCTGATGAGAGACCCAGGCCACACAAAGAAAAACAGGATTGAGACTTACGAGTAGAAAAACTACCAAGGTAGGACAGGCTGGTGGGGACCAAAGGGCCCAAGTCATGCACCTGTTGATCAGCCTGGGTGACTTAGGAGAGAGAAGATCTATGCACTGATGAAAATGGACTGAGTTTCCTGTCTCTGCACTGAATAATGTGGAGAAATGACAGGCCCCACCAAGAGTAGTCATGAATCACAGTTGTGGCAGTTTTCAACACAGACTCAGACTCTGGGTAGAGACTATTTCTTTATCCATGGTGAGAATGCACATACTGGGAAACAACACACGGCTTTGCTGCACTCCATTTCAAGTTCAAGCAAGCAAGCATTGTCCACTAAAATAAGTCCTCCCATGCGGACAAAATACAGTCCTCTGTGTAGGCTCTCTATCTAGTTAAGTGTTTTGGATGCCTGTATCTGGAGAACAGTCTGGAGAAGTGAGTCCTTGTCCTTGTATTACTGCTTAGCATAGCATCAAGGTGGAATGCAAAGTGCCACTTGGAGATATAACAAAGGCCTGTGATATGGTTCCTCAAATACAGGGAGCCGGTTACTCAGGAGGACAAGCCAGATTAGGTCGTGGTCCCTGCTTATGGCAGAAGGTGCATTGCAGTAGAAGGAATAGAGGGGAAGTGTATAAGATGTTTCTGTGTTTGGTGGTGGCCTTCCATCCTCTTTTCTGGCTTCCTAGAAAAGCCAGAGCAAAGAGTCACACACTGCCCAGGTACAGGAATCCTGATGGTTCAAAACAGAGCCAAGGCGACTGTGAAAGGAAGGGGGAAATTAGTGAGGAAGGGATAGAAAAGAAAAATGATTTGATGCTATTTGAGATGACACAATGATGATACACTACCAGCCATATCACTGGTGCATTCTGCAGAGCAAAGACAACCTAAAAATAGGAATGCTGCTGTGATCAGTGTGGGAAATCTCAGGATGGGGTAAAAACTTCTGCAGAGTTTGTAGATCTGCCTCTGAGTGATCTTAAGCCTTAACTCCATCTTGGTTCCACAGCAATTGCATGCCTTGCTATGTGAAGTGAGTGTGGGTTTTCATCAAGCCCAGGTTCATTTGGCAGGCTGCGCGGAGGGTAAAATCTCTGTGCCATTCTGGTGGCACGGTGATTTTAGACCCCTCACATTGGTATCAAAAGGCTCATGAGAACTTTAAGCAACCAAAGGAAATGGTCTTGTTTTCTGCTTTTCTCTGCTTCTTGCTTCACATCCAGCTGAAATCAGAGTATGAGTATACCACTCTGTGCCAGCACAACTGTTGAAAACTTGGTTTGACACGCTGGCCTGCCTCAGTTTACAGGTCAGATGCTTTTAATAGCAATGTGCATGAGGAGGTAACTCTGGAAAGAGATTTCACGTGTCTGAGAAAAGGGTTAGGCAGAAGGTATGTGTGAGCACACAGTGACCTTTGGAGCCTCTGATTTACGGCAACAAGTTAAGAGAATTTTGCACATGCATGGGTGCTACCTGCGCTGACCAGATAGGACGCAGCAAAGCTGTACAAGTAGCAGATGAGTATGAACATGAAGGGAAGTGCAGATTATCCCAGGAGGCTACAACTCAAAATAAGAAAATAGGCCTATGCAAATGGAAGGTTTTGTCTGGTTCTTCAGAAGCATTTTGGGTGGTACGCTCTCCAAGGGATCGGGGGAATTGCCTTCCCAAGACAGTGGTAAAGCTCAGCATATG